GCGGTGCTCACGCTTCTTGCCGTGTGCACCCCCCGCCTGGTCCACGCTGCGGCCACGGCTGCGAAGGCTGCGCAGCAGGCGCTCGGTGAGGGCAATCGCACTGGGGCCGAGGCCGCAGACTCCGCGCGGCAGGCCCTCGCGGACGCCATGGACGCCGTGGGCGCCGCGGATTCCGAGGGGTACATAGGCCTGGACTGGGGCACGCGGCGACCGACGCCAACCAAGTCTGTGCGAATAGGCTAACTAGGCAACGTGGCAGACTGCATTGTCGGCCGGTGACGCTGAAGTATCACAGTCGGTTTCTGCGAGTGTGTCCTTAGCTTTGTGGTGTTGCACCCTCAAGTATCGCTTCCCGCCACGGATCACTTTGTAAAGTTACACACGTCGGCCGTTGGCACCTTTTTTATGGGTTTTCGTTTAAAGCTCCGACAATGTTGCGGGGCTGGATACTGGACACTGTCTCGAACTAGCATGCTCCCAGCTTGCGATGCAAAACTGCATCTTGCCTTTCGCGGTCGGACCTCAGTGTCTGGGTTTAGTCCGCGGGCTACGGAGCATTGCTGTCGAAGCAGTTGCTACCATCATTTGTCAGTGCAGTGGCGTGGTGTTCCTGTCCGCCTTGGCGCCACGGCGTATTCGCGCCCATGCTCCTGCATGTTCGCACTCGTGATTTTATGCACGTAGTGGTACTTCTACCACTTGTGGCCCTACTTCGGTCCCTACTACGGTCCCTGCTACACTTATTCACCACTTCCGATAACGCCGTATTGCCACCTAGCTGACCAATGCCAGCCAATGGGGGTCATAGCTGGGAATGTTCACTCGTACTCATCAAAAGACACTTGCCTAAACATTGGTTGCACTTCGAGGTTGTCCTTCTTTTTAGCGATTCATGGGTGGGTCGAGGTTTCCCCACGTGCCCCGTTGGTGCCCGGCTGCTGCCCGTCCGTGGGCGCCTCGTGGGCGAGCCGTGCGCTGGGTGGGCGGCTCAGGGTCTCGCCACGTGCGTCGGCGGTCCCCCCCCCGTGGGTGCCTCGTGGGCGCCCGGTGCGCTGGCTGGGTGGGTAGGGGTTTCGCTCGATGCCCGCCCGTGGGCGCCGCAAGGCCCCCAGCAGAATGGTTCGAGCTGAGTTGGGGAACAACGCGCCCCGCATGACAATGGAAGGTACGGGTACCGTGCCCAACAACAGTGCTTTTTCGTCTGGAGCACCAGTGGTTGTCCTTCGAGGCCCATCGGACAACGCATCTTGAGATTTGGCCGCAAGTCTTGTCCACTTCGCAGCACTTGTTGCCCGAATGGGCATGGGCCGTTGCCAAGATAACAAGAAGTGCTACCAGAAGGTTCCGAAGGACAGCAACTCGTGTTCCACCTGGTCACCGCTGTTGGGCTTTTTGCCCAGACTTTCCATCCTCATTCCGGGCATGCACAAAGAAGCGCTCGTGCCTCACACCATCACCCAATGCCAACACATCGGTTAGATTGTGCAGCCCCTTCCGCGCGGAGCGCGTCGTGGTTCGACCCTTCGGCGTTGCTCTGCCCCCAACCGCCGACAGCCCACGAACGTTGATCATCAACATCGGAACTGCAACTTATGCGCTACCAGCGCTTTGGTTCATTCAGAAACAGGGATCGCAATCAAATCAGTCGAGGTTTGTTGTGGGGTGGGGGTGATATTTTTGGGGGGATTCATCTGGTGGGCAGGGCCAGCCTGGGATGAGGGTGAGGTTTCGAGAATGGTTGTGGAGCTCGGGCCAGCATCCATTTTTGCTATTGAGTTTGAGAATGTGAAGCCAAGTGTAACATCAGAACGACAATCTCCTTGACTGGGGGCTATCCTGCAGTGCTTGGAGCGAGGGACAGTTGAGTCGTTTCCTTGCGCATGGAATAATTACCGAGGTTTTCCATACGTTTGCATTGCTGCAGTGATGTTGCGCCCAGTAAAGGTATGCGACGCGCTTGCTCAGTTTAGGCATTGTTCGACCGCCATCTTCGCACTGCGCCGCCCGCTGGTCATGTCAGTGGACTCCGACAGCGAAGCGGTAAGCGCGGGAAAATATGCAGTCGTAGTCTCGCATGGAAGGCGCGATTGACGCGGACAGATTCGGGGGGATTGAGATGATGATGGTGGTGATCAGAACTGAAAAACGAAGCAATCATCTTAAACACATGTTTGGAGGTCCGCGCATGTTCCTTGGATCGGCGCTGTGGCTCCTCGCGGACCTCCGAACGCTTATTTCTGCGGCGCTGAATATTGTTTTACTGATGATCGGGGGGGGCCGACCACCGTAGGGTGAGTCAGTGGGGATTCGGGGTCACTGGGATGACGCTCGGTTTTGGAACTTGGATCGTTCTCCAGGTCGTTCTCCTCTCGATTCGGGGCCTCCAGGGTCCCTCAGATCATGGGGTGGCGGGCCGTGCAGCGGTGAGGTCTCTGGAGGAGGAGGAGGAGGAGGGGGAGGAGGAGGAGGAGGAGGAGGAGAAGGAGGAGGAGGAGGAGGA